GAATGCGCGCGCAGCTCTTGCCGCGCGTGCGCATTCAGCCCAGGAGGAGGAACGGAGGAGGAGAGCTCCCCGCCCAGCGCTGGAAAAAGGTAAGTTTTTAACCCTTTCCCCCTTCCAGAGCCGGACGGGAGGGGGTCCCTGAGGGTGGGGGCAACCTCAGGGCACTATAGTGCCAGGAAAACGAATATGTTTTCCTGGCACTATAGTGGTCCTTTAAAGAAAAACTACTAAAGGAGGGTGTTCCACATTATTAAGCAGAGCACCATTTTCATCCAATATGGGGAAGAAAAAGGATCTCTCTGCTGCCAAAAAGAGTGAAATAGTTCAATGCCTTGGACGAGGTATGAAAATATTAGATATTTCACGAAAACTTAAGCGTGATCATCGCACTATTAAGAGATTTGTGGCTGATTCAGAGCACTGATGGGTTCGTGCAGATAAAGGCACATTGAGGAAGATTTCTGCCAGATCCATGCATCGGATCAAGAGAGCAGCTGCTAAAATACCATTACATAGCAGCAAACAGATATTTGAAGCTGCTGGTGCCCCTGGAGTCCAACTGACATCAAGATGTAGAGTCCTCCAGAGTCTTGCAACTGTGCATAAACCTTCTATTCGGCCACCACTAAGCAATGATCACAAGCAGAAACGGCTGCATTGGGCAGAAAAATACATGAAGACTAATTTTCATACAGTCCTGTTCACTGATGAGTGCCGTGCAACACTGGATGGTCCAGATGGATGGAGTAGTGGATGGTTGGTGGACGGCCACCCTGTTCCAACAAGGCTGCGACGTTAGCAAGGCGGTGTTAGAGTCATGTTTTGGACCGGAATCGTGGGAAGAGAGCTGGTCGGCTCCTTTAGGGTCCCCGAAGGTGTAAAGATGACCTCTGCAAAGTATGTAGAGTTTCTGACCGACCACTTTCTTCTCTGGTACAGAAGGAAGAATTATGCTTTCCGTAATAAAATCATCTTCATGCTGCAAAGAATACATCTGCATCAATGGCTGCTATGGGGATAAAAGGAGAGAAAGTCATGGTGTGGCCTCCATCCTCCCCTGACCTCAATCCTATTGAGAACCTTTGGAGCATCCTCAAGCAAAAGATCTATGAGGGTGGGAGGCAGTTTACATCCAAACAGCAGCTCTGGGAGGCTATTCTTACATCTTGCAAACAAATGCAAGCAGAAACTGTCCAAAAACCCACAAGTTCAATGGTTGCAAGACGTGTGAAGCTGCTATCAAATAAGGGGTCCTATGTTAAAATGTAACGTGATCTGTTAAAATGTTTACAAAGTTAAAATGTTGTTATAAGTTTGATTGAAATAGCTTTTGATTTCAGTAAATATGCTGCAAACACAACAAATGACAATTTTCAGTTCTTTACAACCTATAAAGTGTTTTGAAACTTACTGTGCGTAATAATTTGGAACAGTGCATTGTAAGTTTTTTATGTTTAAAACAAAATACTGTTATCATTATGTTTGTTCAATAAAATTTAAATTGTACTCTTAATAGTTGATGAAATGATAATTATGCTGACTGTTATTTACATAATTTATTTAGGTAAATGAGACAAATATAATTTGCATAATAATTTGGAACAAGGTGTACATTGTGCTGGAAGAATTGTTAGCAAATCTATAGATGTTGTAGTATGTATATATATAACATGCAAGATCCAACTTGAACACTCACAAAATGTATAGTTTTTATAAAAACATCTGACTTTGACAAAATAATGGGGATTTAGTTAACATAGATGGTCATACATTGCATAAGCCTGCCACAACGTCAATGTATCCATGTTTCTGCAGGTTCTATTCTAGCAATGCCAATAGCACTGCTAGGGGGGAAATTATACTAGTAAAACTCACATTAGCCCTGCATCATGGCTCTAGCTGGTGAGTTTTAACATCTTCTTAAGGAGACACTAACAGCACCCAGACCTTTTTTATCTCCACCCTCTCCTACCCCAGTTTTAACCCTATAAGTGAAAACATTGCCTTTCTGCAAGGTTTAAATGTTTCTATTGGCTGTCACTCAGACAACCACTAGCAGTGCTTCCTCACAGAGACCATCTGAATAGCATGGCATTTTGCTTTGCATGCGCACTAGCCTCCCAATGGTTTCCTATGGGAATCTCGATGATCTCCGGGATGGCAGCACAGATTCAGGCGCTGCGGGGAAGAAAAGGTAAATAAACTACCTTTTTACTTCCTAAATGGCCACCTGGGCACTAATGCGTTAGGAATTCACATTTGTATTTCTAACGCTATAGTGTTCATTTAAGTAGCATAGTATACAATTTATCACTAGAATAAAGGGTTCATCCCATTAGGTGATGATATCTCTTAAAAGTAATTCTTCATGACAGGTTCTTTTTAATAATGCATCCACTCTGTATCTGCTTCATTATCTGAATTTTGTTTCTTCTGGAATTCTTAAAGAAGAATGTTCTTGATGTTCGAGCAGCAATGTTACTTGCCGTATTCAACCTGGACAAATTTTATTATATTAATTTCAAGCATATTTGTATGGGACTGTGCAGTTTGCATTCCATTACGCATTGTCAGATTGATTTTCCAGAACCACCATGGCTTTCTGGAAATGTAGCATCTACATTGGCAGTTCCCAACCTTTTTGGGACCGAGGCACAGTTTAATGGGAAATATTTCCAACACAATACAATAACTCCCCTCCTTGTGAAAGAGTTGTTACAAGGAGGGGGAATCTGGGGAACATAGACAATAAAAACCCAGAGCCTTCTGCCTGCATTGATTGTAGTATGCAAATATATGCAAATGCTCAAAATGTTTAGCTTCATCATTGAGGCAATGCACATAACCGCAACAAAGTAGTCTTCAGCCAACAGATGGCGTTCCACCAAAGTACACCTAGGAGGTTACAGTGTTTCAGCTAAACTGGTCTGGGCCATACAGGGCTCATAGTCACAGGGCAAGAATCTAGCTCCCAAGCCCCTCCACAGAGTCTAATTTATGCTTAGACTGTACCAGATGACTGTCGTTTGTAAGGCACATTTAGCAGAAGAGGGGGGATGCTTCTGTAACAAAAGTAAACTACATAAGAAATTAATTATTCCAGATCACAGAGTGGCTATTCTGTAGAAGAAATATTTCTTACTTGTACTTTTTCATGTGCGTCTGGCTCTGTTCTTGTCTTCTAAATTACAGAATTTAAAGACATGTAACATTGATTTTATATTTGAAAGCCTGTTTGGTGAACAAGCCTTAAATGAATCAAGAATATTACACCATCTATTCCTTGCCTGTTTTTGTCTATTCGATTTGGAAGTGGGTCATGACAATATGTTATCTCTGGCCTCAAAGAATACGAGAAATACAGGCAAGACTGACCATCTTCCACATGCTTACTAGACTTTTAGTTATTATGAGTAATAGTAAAATGTGTGGATATTATTAGAGGTTTATTGTTTGTTTGTTTTTTAGGGGAGTGGTAGTTGATTGTAACATTTACTTTTTTGTTTCTGTGGTACCATTTATGTGTTTAATGTCATTGTATTTCTTTGAAATCAAAAACCAATAAATAAATAAATAAAATAAAAAAGTAGATATGTAACTGGATAAAGAATGGCTATGATTCTTGAGGCATTGTTTACCTGTAAAAGGATTCCAAACTCAGAATAGGAAGATGGCTTAAGGTAATGAATATGAAGAATCATCTAGTTAGGTAGGGCTTTGTTTGTTTGATTCTTCCTTCTCATAATCCGACACTGATTATCCCTTCATAAATCCAGATTTAATTATCAAACTTTTTGTCCAGATATTACCCCAACCAGCCATCCTTGAAATGTTCTAGCCTCTCCTTTTTCACTAAATATTGACAATATTGTCATTATTTCGTCTGATATTCACACTGTAAATCGTTTTTTGCTTCTCCCCAGGATACTGATTGGGTTTGGCACAGTGGGTTTTTTTTTTTTAATTTCTTTTTATTGAGGAAAATATTTCTCGGCTTCGACAGTATGCAAGATAACCAGTGTTGTATCGGTACACGCAGGTATCATCATACAAAAAGAAAGCGGCCCGATCCTCCTTCTCCTACAGAGCACCACAATTGTGGAATGACCTCCCGCACAATTTAAAATCTTCCCTAAGCTTAAAGTCCTTTAAGAGATCCCTCTCTACTTACCTCAAAACAGAATGCACGTGTCATGGTTGATTATATATTTCCTGCCTGTTCTATGTTAAATTTTGTATTTATTGTGTATTAATATTGTTTTTGTATTTTATTGTACCCTATTGTAACAATGCAATGATTTGTGGACTCAGGACATACTTGAAAACGAGAGAAATCTCAATGTAGCTTTCCTGGTAAAATATTTTATAAATAAATAAATGTGTTTATTGTGGAGTGCTGTGGGACATTCAAGTCCCCAGTATCAATAAGTCAAAAGTATGTATTCCTAATTCTATAGTATCCCAGCCCCTAGTTAGATCCAGGACCTCCCTTTTTGCCATGTAAAAAAAATTATTAACGTTTTTACTACCTTTTTTCCAGCACCAAGACTTACTGAATGCTGCCACCTTGGGGGTGGGGCTTGCCTACAGACCGAGTAGGACGCAGGCTAGAGGAGGTCTGCAGCAAAATACAATTTGTCAGCAATTTATTTGAGATTATTAACACCATTAAGCTGCAATACTCGGCTGGACGGTTCCCAGAACACATTGTTCACCGGAGGCAAGCATTTTCTCCTGAAACAGGAGCATTAATTGGAGGCTTTACCCACTGCGGCCTGCTCGCTACCACGAGGCAGGGGAGGCAGCCGGTCCCTTGTTTTGCTTCAGCCTGTGCATTGCCTGAAGCCCTGTCACCCCCCCTTTTGGACCGGTGGGGGTCATCCCGGTCCACACTGATCTGCTTTAAGAATCTCTTGACGTATTACAAGCTGGCTAAGCTCTTTATTTCTGCTTCACACAAAATGGTTGTTGAAACTCACGATGAGCTGAAGCATGTCGGGATGGGTGATCCCCGTCCAAGATCCATACAGGACTTTCTTGATGATTTTGACCAAATTTGCCTAGCATTTTGGCAGAAACTGGAAGGCAGAAAGAGCCTGCACGAATATGGTGCTTCTGTTACGCAGCACTCACCCCTCCTGCCCACACACTCACCTGCTATGGAGCTGCAGGGGTATCCCCAACTCAAATTATCTGCTGGTGAATCTCTTGATGGTACCAAGCGGGAACCCCCCGACTAACTACAGGAGGCAGACCACATAGAGCTCTCACCCCTCGCAGGCTCACTTTCCCAGAAGAGCCAAGAGCACAACACTGGGACAGATCTCTGCACCTGGTTAGACAGCTCTGTAAAGCACAAGGCGTTAAACTAGAGGCTGGATGATGGTAACCGAAGATGCCCGGTGGTTCAGAGTTGGAGGATTTCAGGACACTCGGCCCTATATCGCTCCTATAAGCCAAGGTGCCACTGTATCCCGCCAAATGGGGACGGGTAGCTTTGTGGGACATGGTATGATGTTATACTTGCTGAAATATTTCATTGCTCAGACGAGGACATAACTTACCTTTATATTGAGTGTATCTTGAGAGTATGTTTTCTTTTTGCTTCTTGTTCGCTTCCCCACAAGCCTAAGAGTCAAGCATAGCTGTTTTGCTGCAGTCAGTGTAAACTATACTCCATTACTTCTACTCATCTATGTTAATTCATGTTGTAACATTAATGGATGTCTGCATAGCTTGTTTTACCTTACTTTATTTGTTTCTCATAATAGTTCAGCTTGTTTTATAAATATGATAAGTGCATTTCACTCACATACCATGAAGTTGTATCTGTATGTTAGCTTACAATATTTATGTGTACATGTTGTTGTGGCATTACAAGCCTGCATGTTACTCTATGCACAATACAAATGAAGAATTTTAAAAAAATACATAAAAATGCTGACACCTGCTCCTCCCAAGAAGCCATTTAGGACGAATCATGTGCCGTCTTCTTGTCCAATCCAATGCTGCTTGGGCGTGATACACCGGTGCACATCCAATCCAGTGCTTCTCTATGAACAGTATTTGATTACATTTAACATCCTCAGTGAAACACGGTTGTTGCAGCTTAAGTGCCTCCAGAAGCTGTCAGGAAGACAGCCACTAGATGTGTGTTTAACCCTTCAATTAAAAATTTGCCAAATCTACTAAATTGTAATGTTTTAGATCGAAGGACTAATAGGACAGGGGCACTAAGTGTTGAATTGCTTTTTTTAATCATCCTTTATTTTCATGGTGCATAAGAAAAGCACGATTATCAGGAGAGGAAAACAGTATATCTCAAGCGTTCAGCACCATTTTCTATCTATATATGTGTCACGAGTTAAACAGACATGTCTAAATGCTAGGTCAAATAATAATAAACATGACAGCTAATCACTGCATACATAGATGTGCACACTGTCATGGGTAAATCGTGGCACTTGCTGGCAGATTGTCTGAGATGAACTGTCACATGCTAACTGGTAAGTAAGTAGATACCATGTTTAAGAAGGATGGTTGTAGTAGACATTGTTATGCACGTTACAGTAAGAACGAGTGTCAAACATTACTGCATTCAGCCTGTACTAAAATAAACAAAACAGGAAATAATGGCAAAGGACATAACAATGTTAGTTTTGCAAGACAATGCTGCTAATGGCATGAAAGATGATTCAGCCTATACCCTGCAGAAGATGGATACCGTCCCAGCTGTCAGGTTGAGTCAAGCCTTACATATCAACACCCCATCAGCCCCAGGCACTGACACAGCCCAGAACATTAAGCTCAAGAATCCCAGTACAGCCTCCGACCAGGACTTTTTTTCGGGGGGCCTTCTTCATGTCGCTTTTGAGCTCAACTACTTATGGCCTTCTGGGCAAGTGCGTTGTGTGTAGGGGATCACAGTCAAGGAAGGTAGGGGTCTGCAGGAAGATGGAGCCTTTGGCGCAGGAGCACTTTTCAAAGCACCCGCCTCCATTTCTAAACGTAAAGTGCAGCATCTATGCATTGTCCATGAGATGTGGATTGCTGCCATCTTGTCCACTTGATGCCAACTGCTAGTGATGAGAAGCCGCTGGAGAATTTGCAGTGTAGCACAGGTAAGAGGTGCCGGGATATCCCTCCCCCGGAGTGGTGGGAAGAGAGAGTAAAGGCAGGACCTCTGTAGTAATATGTAGCAACAAACTGAGGGATCAGCCTCCCCAATGTCAGTCGCCGAGTATGCCTCTTGTAGGCGGCGATTCCTTTTGCGATGTAAGCCACTGATCTCGGTCGAGAATACATGAGACATATGCTGCAGGAGATACCTTCCGTCTCCGGATAGTACCCCCAATACAATTCCAAGCTAGTTGTGGCAAAGAGAGCTATGTCGGGGCTTTGCAGTACAGAGCTCACAGTAAGTGCCACCGGTCAGCACTCTGACCCCCTGAAATTGCTTTTTATATCCTCACCTGTTACACAAGAATTCAACAGTCTTGACATGCTATGTCAGATTATACATTCAGTAAAGTCTACACAGAAAACTGTTGAAAAAGACATAAGCAAATGCATTTAATGCACTTGCTAAAAATAACCTTTCACCTGCTAAGGGTAGAGGAACACTCAAGACTCAAGTAAGAGGTGCATAATTTTCTACTGTATATTCTGCTAAATAATGAATGCTAATGACATGCATGTGGGTAACAACTTTGAGTGACATTTCTGTAACAAAGTACTTATAGTGAAATGTTAGGCAATCAGCTGTAACCTTATCTGAAAATAACCTGTTCTGCGTAAGTAGAACAGTGTCATGTTTTCCCCTGCCTTCTGCAAATTAGTAAACTGAGCCATTAACCAAGAAACCCATCACCCTTAAAGAAACATGGTAATTCTAATAGTAAATGTATTTGTTTTTTGAAGGTTCTCGCTAGGAATCAAAATTACAAGAGCCTAATACAGTGGATTGGTGCCAAGAGACTGATACTGCAGTCTCTCATTTGTAAACACTGTGTTTTTATTTTTGTAAACAGTTTTTGTATTTGTCCCTAGGGTCACTTTTTGTGGCTGTCACTCAGACAGCCAGTGCAAGTGTTTCCTATTATGGTTTTGCAATTTTTGCAGGAGAAACATTTGTTGTCTTCATGTACTGCATTGGAGTAATGCATCTCGATGAGGAGATATCAGTTGGAGAGGCGATCAGTGCAGTAATGTCTGTACACCTCTACTCATCCCTTTTCACTACTGTGAGATAATCAATCCTGATGGTCTATGGTCTAATAATGGTTATCATAGACAAGCAGTAAGGGCCTGAGTGCATGCTCAGTAATAATCACAAGCTGCTAATCCAATGCTTCACATAGATATGCTTAAGATTTGTTTGACTTTGAACGTGAATACCTTCGAAAATGTAAGGTCTTAAGGAGGAGGAACCTCTGTTGTCTCTCAGACAAATACTAAAGGTGTTTTTTTTCCCAGATGGAAACATTGCTGTATTACATTGTATCAACATCGCAAAAACCATCCATCAGTTCTACTGTTGGACAAATTTATAAATTAGGAATAACTCCAGAATAATCCCAAATTTACTGCTAGATCCTGATTGGTCACAATCTTTTAATGAGTGTCATACCTCATCTAGATGTTCAGAAACAAGAACATTTCTAGTTTTACAGTTCTCCATGCAAGATGACCTTCTCTTAGGAACATAATTAATTTCGACGACCCCCAATTATTATTTTTGCATTAATTCCACCAGATAAAAGCCACCCTTCATCTCATGCCATTTCTTAGTTGTGGAATTATGTGTATTATTTATTATTGCTATAGCCACTGCGGTTCTTGGTACATAGAATTGAATGATTGACTAATAGTGATGTCCCGAACGGTTCGCCGGGAGGGTCTGGGAGGGAGGGTCTGCTGCCTATTGGCTGGAATGTGTCTGCTGACTGTGAGGTACAGGGTCAAAGTTTACTCAATGATGACATAGGGGGCGGACCGAACAGCGCATATGTTCGCCGTCCGTGGCGAACCGTTCAGCGAACCGTTCGGGACATCACTATTGACTAATCCAAACCTCATAGTTTTGCCTGGAAGGAGTGCTTCTCCAAATAATGCATTACTGCCTACAACTTCTCCAGATCGTGAACTGAGGGTCTCCTTTTAGTTAATGACAACAGATTCTGCCTTGTCTGCTAGTATACATCCAGGATGTTGCTACAGGAAAGCCTACATTTTTGAAGAATTTGTCAGTAAGACTGTCCTTGATAGTTCTTTTCAGAAGTTTTCTGGGAACTCGTGAGGAAGATAAGCTAGATGTTGATGTCTATATCTTGTCATGAGTTTTGTAGCACACTTTGATTTTATGCAATGTATGTATGTTTTTAGGAATACAAGGAACCACATTCTAACTAGCTAGAATGGGGGATGTATAACTCAACTTACAAGGTTTGTTCTTGAAAAAAAAAAAAGCTTTACCTAGAGCCAAAGCTGCACACCTTGCAACGCTCTCAAGCACAAACACAGGAGAGCATGGCGAACATGGAGGATAGGAGCCCCTGAAAGAACATAAAGCTGCACGGCCTAACTGACTCTATAGAGGCTGCAGAGATATCTCACCTGTCCCGCAACTGCTATAATTATGAAAAAATGGGTTAACCCTAGAAGGACCTGGCACCCAGACCACTTCATTAAGCTGAAGTGGTCTGGGTGCCTAGAGTGGTCCTTTAAGCACTGTACAATATAATATTAATATTTTCCCCTAACAAGTGTCCTTCAATCTACCACTGTACAGTGGGTGTTTTAGCACATATATCTTAGCAATGGGATCATGACCTTATGCTTTTTGTAACTTGGACATCCTCTGCTTTTGTCCCTCTTTGTTCTGTTTTGTAATGAGTAACATCCTTCATAGGAGAAGGATGCAGTTTTTTTGGGTTTGTTCTGATACTGTTCATATGAAAAAGAAACCCAATCCAGTGCTATGTCTGAACGCATGCTAAATTATAGTCTTTGGTTATTTCTTTCTCTTCTCTACTGCCGTCATATTGTATGTCCTGATTTTGGATTGTGACTAAAGAAAGATTTGTAAAAAAGAAAAGAAAAGAAATAAATCTGAAGCCATATTTCTCCAAGACAAATCAGGCCAGCAAAAAAATATAAGCATCTACCTCTCAGTACGTAAATTGTGAGCTCATTTAGGTGCATTTATGTGTTTGCTATATGTTAGTGTTCCGCTACTTTG